AAAATGATGTCAAATGCTTTTAAAACTTTGCAAGAAATTTGAACGAAAAATTGGCTGTTTTTAGCAGAAGAACGCTCATTAGTAGACCTTAGTGATTGTACCTGTGGTGTTCCAAGACTTTCCACCGAGTAAGGGAAGGCAGTAAGTGGAGCTGGATAAAGGCATTCTGAGGAGGACAAAGCAACTAGGCCTAACCATGGCCCGAAGGCCAGACCACGTGTACAAGGCCCAGACAAATCCTAAATAGACCGCCAAACATCAGAGGACCACATAAACGAGGCATAAAAGTAGCATTTATTTTTTGAGAGTGTAATATATCCTAGCTTGTTTAAGTGTACTTTTATAGGTGAGAGGCGGGAACCAATTGGGGACGTGAATCACGTGCGTGAAGTCGGCGAGGAGCCTCCCTCCGATTGATATCTCTTACTCACCTCATCTGTATCCTATTCTCCATCCTTCCTGACAGCGATGCCTAATAAACCGTCTACAACCAACTTCCTCTTAAAGTCTGAGAACCAGGGACCAGAGGGTAGACAGGCAGCAACTACAGAGAGTACATTCAAAATGTTCCTAATAGGATGCGGTGTGTAAACATTGACACACATATAAATCGCTTCCATTTCGCCGAATCGCTCCATGTAGTACGAACCACCATCAAAAAATAAGTAAAGTAAAGACAAGCATACATTTAGAATTTCATTACTTATTATTTGCACAGTTTTTTTCTAATTAGTTTTTCATTTACCCCCACTATTTTAGGGATGAGTATCTAGTAATTATCATAATGCTACAACTAATTAAAATTAAGTCATTTTATTAGAATAAACAGCTTAATTTACACAACAGAAATTATTTTTTATGGTACTTTGATTTGTTTTATTATATGAATGTCCTTAAATGATCTCCCGCACTTTCAAATATTATTTTCTGTTATTGCGTACACTTTTAGCATAATTCCTATTCCTCTGCTTCCCTTTTTTTCGAGTTGTTATAAACTTGTTCATCTTCTAAATACCTCTTAAGTTTGGACTTTATAGGGCTGTTACGTCATTAAGCCTTGTTTGCCCTAGGTTGAATAAGTGTGAATCATGGCAGATATCGATATCTTTGAAAAAGTCCGAGTCCATCACTTATCAGGCAAGCACATTTTTTAACCTATAAAACTTTTTAT